TCAGGGGCTCTCCAGACAGGTCAGTCACAGGTTTTGAAAACTGAATACAGCAAAATTTATCCTCCAGACAGTGAAATGATGGGAATAAATCAGACTAATGCCCTGCGAAGTCCAGGAGCTGCTGTCAGAGCTTAGCTGTGCTGAGGCAGGATCTAGGAAACCTTGTTGTAGGAAATTTCAAGAATTTTTGGTCCCAAATTTGGGACTTTTTGGTCCTGTTATTTAAGTGCCAGCTGGCATTATTTCCATTATTTCCATTACATGTCATCTTTCTCTGTCCTCAACTGAGGATGTAGAAAATCATTGTAAAGAGGAAGGGAATTATTTCTTTTCCACATCCATGATGAGTACAACCAAAACAGTGGGTTTAAATTAAAGTAGTGGGTTTAACTGGGCTAGGCTTTAGGAAAAACTCTCTAACTGGGTGGCAAATACTGGAATAGTCTCCTTTAGGAGACCGGAGGATCCCCGTCTCCAAAGATCTTTCATAACCAATGTTTGTTTGGATCAAGGCATTGTCATTCATTCTATTATGATGAAAGAAGTTAGACTTGATGATTCATAACCAACTCTTTTTTGTGATTCCGTGTGATGATTTCCCTGTGTTTGGTTTATTTATTAGTATGATGAGATAACACATATTTTTCTGGTAATCCTAAATGCTGACCCTTCTTGCTTATAGTTGATCTTACTGTCAATCTGGTTGATTGCAATCAGTTCTATCTACATCCAGGACTTTAAAAATATAATTTTCAACAGGAGCCTGACACTAGTTAAAGTGCTTATTAGGTTTGTGTTGACTTCAGTGAGCACAAGTTATGTCCCCACTGAGATGAGAATTGGCTCCAAAAAGTTGGTGTTTACTTTTTTCCTTAGAAAAGGACAATGCAGTAGGGAAAATGCCACAACAATCCATCTTAAAAAGAAATTCCCTCTGTCAGAAACCTCTCAGGAGTTCCAAACTCGGTTAGGAGAGATCAGAAAGAAATTGAAGTTAAATTTAAAATCCCCACCCACATTCTGTCTTCTTTTCCTGCAAAGTGATTATTGCTCCTGGTCCATGTGTTGGCAAATCTTTCTGAAATGAGCCATAATTTGCCTTAACACTGCCTTTCTGGGCAGGATGGAGCTGGTCTTTTTGAAGAACAGGGATGCAACAACTCTGTGAAAAAATCCTCAATGCTTTTATTTCCCAGTCATGTTAAAATTTCACCCAGGAATTCTTCTTGGCATGAGAACATAGGGGGTGGATCACACATTTTTGAAGCTGAGGCACCTGCCAGGTGAGGTTTTTGGGCGCTGCAAGGCACGGCCAGGATGGGTCAGAGTGTGCTCTCACATTTGTTTTCCACTCCTGTTGAAAGACCCTGGCAGGGTTAATAAAGAGAATAAATGTGTGGCCACAGCAAATTAACCAAATGAGCTATTAAGGGGGGATGGGGCCTCACCAATGCCTGCTTTGGAGCCTGCAGTGTCTCCGAGCAAAACATCAGGAGAGCAGGGATAAAGGGCTTTCAGGGATGTGCTGCAAATGGGATCCAAAGCTGCCTGTGGTTCCTTCTGGGAGGAAACCTGATGTCATTTCATCAGCAGAGCAGTCAGCAAACCACTAATGGCTTTCCATCGTCTTTCCTGACAGGTATTGACGGAGGGAGGCTTCGGTCCCATCACCACGGAAATCCGGGAGGCTCCCGAGTTTTATTATGCCGAGGATTATCACCAGCAGTACCTCAGCAAGAATCCCGGCGGATACTGTGGCCTCGGGGGGACGGGGATTTCCTGCCCCGTCGGCGTCAAGAAATAGCCTGCGCTTACTCCACCACCTCCACTTTGGTTTTAAGGAGTTTGGGAAAAGACCATCAACCCTGGTAGATGCTCCAGTGCAGCCAGTCCATAAAGATTTGGGAATCTGTTGGGGAGATTTTCCATGATCGGAGCCGCTTCGCATTCATCGGCATTAAAAACCAAAATAGAGGCAAAAATTTTGTTTTAGGGAGTTTGGGAAAAGACCGTCAACTCTGATAGATGCTTCAGTGCATCCACACCATCAGTGCATAAAGATTTGGGAATCTGTTGGGGAGGTTTTCTGTAATTGGAGCAGCTTCTCATTCATCGACTTTAAAAACCAAATTAGAGGCAGAAATTGCTCCCATTGGCCAACACAGCTTCTTGCTCTAGGGAGCTCACAGGGTTTCCTTGGAATATGGAGAGGTTTGGCTCCAAGTGCTGTTAAAAGGAGGAATTAGGAGGTGGTTGCATCCATAACTGCTTTGGTACAGCTCATGCCTTCAGAAATGTTGATTTCCTTGGATTGATGAATTTGTGGGTGTTTTGAGAGCTTTGACTTCTGGAGGCATGGTTGGGCTCTTTCACTATCACCAGCCTGTAATTTGGTGTCTTTGGGAATGATGAGCTGATAAGATAAGTAATTGTCCCACAACTCTGCTTTCTAGGATCACCTCTAGTGCCTGTTTTCTGAAATAATTTTAGTAAGAGAAAGTACAAATTGTAATGTGTTGCTGCTTCTTGACAGTTCCAAAACAAAAAGAAATCAGTTTCGTTTCCTGCACTGCAATAAATTACAGAAAAAGAAAAGAAAAATGTTGTCTGTGGTATGTTCCAAGTATATCTGGGTAGATCTAAAAAAAAAAAAATCAAATATTATAAAAGACTGCAGTTTGCTAATTAAACACCAGGACTTTGAAATCTGTATTATTGTGCTTATTAACTAGAGCATGGAGGGACAGGACAAGGGGGAATGACTTCCCACTGCCAGAGAGCAGGGTTAGATGAGATACTGGGGAGAATATGGATATGGGATCCTGTGGGTTCAGAGTTCAAGGAGTGCTTGGACAACTCTCTGGCACACAGTGGGGATTGTTGGGCCTGTCCTGTGCAGGGCCAGGAGTTGGACTTGATGATCCTTGGGGGTCCATTCCAACTCAGGCTATTCTATCATTCCATGCTTTGGAATATCCTAGGACAAACAGCTTCTTTAGGAGGGTTGGGAATTGGTTTGTCCCGTCCAAATTGCTGCTTGTAATACTTCCCAGTGGGAAGTGTGAGTTTGAGCCTCCCATGTGTTCCCTATTTTGGAGACTGTCTTGATCACTGAGTTTGAAGAACATGTGCCAATAGTTTGTCCTCTTGCAGGTGTACTTTCTTAGGTAAAGCTTGTAGGAGCCCACCTTGATCCATCCATTCTGGGCTCTAAAGTTCATTTTTGAGGGCCAGACAGTTGGGACCCAGAGGCAGAAATCCACAGCATTTCCTCCTGCTGAGCTCTCCAGGGCACTCCTCTCCACATCTTGGTTTGATGTTTCAGACTCATATTTTAGGCTTAGAAAGGCCCAAACCAGCTCCTGAACATCTCCTGTACCTACCCAGCAGACCAGATGGAGCTCTGAACTTGGAGGGACTGAAAATGGGAATCAGAGAGTCAGTTTGGGCTTGTAAATCCATTGCTGAAGCCCTTCCTGCTTTATCCAAAGATGGACAGTAAATATGTGCCAGAAAAATTAACTCCCCATCTTCCCTTGCTCCTCAGCTGATGCTGAGTTTGTTCCAATCTCAAAATCCAGAGGAAAACAGTCCTTTTAGTCCTAGGGAAAGCTCACAGGAGCTATCTCTGGCATGTTAGGCTCTTCTGGAGATGCCCCAAAATGTGCCCACGTCCCACTGGATATTTCTAGTTGCTGTGGTAACTGATCCTGTCCTTAATGTGTCATGCCATGTAGTTGTTCCACTGCTCACTGCCAAGGTAACCAACACTTCTGTCTAATTTCCTTGGCATGAGGTGACAGAGAAGCAAAGAGGAGAGGAAAATAAAGTATTACTTTCATCCTGTGCATTGTTAATTGAGATTTCAGCGGGATAACTCCTGATTTGCTCCTAGGCAAAACATTTCTGAATCATTTGGGGGCTTTATAAAATTCCCTTCCCTCCCCTCCTACTCCTTGTTATTGTTTTGAAACAAGTTGGAAAGTCTTTGGGAAAAGTAACATTCTGTCCTTAATACAGATATGCTCAAGTCTGAACCTGGCTGAGGGTTTTTTTAAGTCCTGTCCTGATGGAAATGATGTGTTGGTGTAGAAATCAGCATAAATGGGTCCACTGATGCTAAAATTGGCCCACACCAGAACATTTTGCCACCACAGATTTATTTCTGGAGTTACTGTGGGGTGGAGTTTTGGCCTGGACCCCTTGCAGCTGCTGCTGAAGGGACAAAGACTGTGAGGGATGTGATCAGTAAAGGTGAGATGCTAATTCACCCTCATGGATTAATTTTTTAAGCTGGATTTAGCCCTGTGAGCCATCCTCACCCACAGGGAAGAAGGGAGTGGCTGCCTCAACATCTCTGATATGAAACTTTCAACTTGGCACCATTTGAAATTTGCCCTGTGACAGAGCTTCCCCTTTCTTCTGCAAACACAGAATGGTTTGGGTTGGAAGGGACCTTAAAAATCACCAAGTTCCACCCCCTGCCACAGGCAGGGACACCTTCCACTATCCCAGGTTGCTTCAAACCCTGTCCAACCTGGCCTTGAACACTTCCAGCGGTGAGGCAACATGGTCCTGTTTAAGTACATACAAGTAAGTGCCTCAGGCACAGTCTAAGTGGAGATAAAAATAATTAAGACTTCAGCATTTCTCATAGTTGAAGATGGAAGCGAACGCAGGACCAGCATCCAAGGTCTTCAAAGATGGTTCAAGATCCAGAAAGGGCTACAGCACCCAGCTCACTCAATCCACTATTGCCACACCCTGTGAGGTCAGTCCAGGCTACAGTCAGGAACTGCCTTCAGGCTCCAGGGAGACCTGAGAGCCCCTTCCAGTGCCTAAAGGAGCTCCAAGAGAGCTGGAGCAGGACTTTGGACAAGGGCTTGGAGAGACAGGACAAGGGGGAATGGTTTCCCACTGCTGGAGGGCAGGGTTAGATGGGATATTGGGAAGAAATTCCAGCTGCCCTGTCCCTTCTAGAGCTAAAGGAAATTACAAACCTGGAAATCACTGAGCTTTCCTTCAGGGAACATTGATGCCTTTCGGCCTTAGGAAGGATGGCATCCAATCGCCCTGTCAACAGGAACAGAGGATGCTGTGATGTCATACCCTGGCAGGGAGCTGTGTTGACATGGAATGCAGATGCTTCTGAGGTGTCTGAAGAGGCATCACTGCTCTGAATCTTGGGGAACAGTGTTGTTCCAAGATGGATTGAAATGCTCCTCCTTGTCATCTTCTGTTTAACTTCTCTGATGAGCAGCGCCACTGCTGCCGGTGGCCGTGCAGGATATTCACACGTGGGTGAGTGAAACAGGCCTGGGATTGCTCCTTGGACCTCGTGGCCTTGCTCAGCCTGATGCTGAACCTTCCACTCCCTAAACAAGGATTTTATCCAGACTGATTATGGGTGGGTCCTGCCCACCCTCAACCTGCTCGGGCAGTGCTTGGCAGAGTGCAGGTTTGGGGAGGGGACAGGGACATCAGGATCAGTTGTAAAGATCATGGAGCAGGTCAAGGGAGGGGATTCTCAGCCTCCACCCTTGTGAGACCCCACCTGCAGAGCTGCATCCATGTCTGGGGTCCAACAGCAGAAGGATGTGGAGCTGCTGGAGCAAGTCCAGAGGAGGCCACAGAGATGCTCCAAGGGCTGGAGCCCCTCTGCTCTGGAGCCAGGCTGGGAGAGCTGGGGGGGTTCACCTGGAGAAGAGAAGGCTCCAGGGAGACCTGGGAGCCCCTTCCAGTGCCTAAAGGGGCTCCAGGAGAGCTGGAGAAGGACCTGGGACAAGGGCTGGAGGGACAGGACAAGGGGGAATGGCTTCTCACTGCCAGAGGACAGGATTAGATGGGATCTTGGGGAGGAATTCCTGGCTGTGAGGGTGGTGAGGCCCTGGCACAGGTTTCCCAGAGAAGCTGTGGCTGACCCATCTCTGAAAATGTCCAAGGCCAAGTTGGACAGGGCTTGGAGTAACCTGGGACAGTGGAAGGTGTCCCTTCAGGGATATGGCAGGGGGTGGAATGAGATGGTTTTTAAGATCCCTTCCAACCCAAACCATTCCATGATTTTGTACATATTATAGACCAGTGCTCTGCGTGCTGTCCTGCCCCTCCAACTGAACTGCACAGACAGTGGCACTCTCAGACATGTCCCACATGTCTCATTTTGTCCCCAGAGTGTGGCCTCCGACCGTCCTTTGAGTCCTTCCTGGAGACTGGCAAGAGAATCGGGACAGGGAGATCTGTGCAGCTGGGAGAGTTCCCGTGGCACGTGAGCATCCAGAGCCACAGGAAGCACATCTGTGGAGGCACCATCATCAGTGCACTGTGGATTTTAACTGCTGCCCATTGCTTTGCCAAAGAGCTGTGAGTACTCCAGGGAATGAAGGACAGCCCAGGCACAATGGGGTGGTAACACTCCTCCTTGTGGGTGTAGGATATGGATGTTCTTGGGGTCAAACACAATATATATGTGACTGAGCCCTTAAAATGGGAATTTTTTCCTTTGAGGAAAACAGGCCCATTTTTGAACACAGAAATGTGCAGAAACCATGAGGAGCAGAAAGGGAATACTTTCAGGAATGGTCTGAGCAGCCTTATGTCATCATGCCCATGATAATGTTCTGGGGGCCCCAAGCATTTCCTGTCCATCTACAAATGCTGTGGCACCTTGTAAAAAGTGACATATTCCATTCCATCTTATTCTAATCCCAAAATTATCTTTGCTTTCTCATAGAAAACACCTTTACCTCATGGAGACTCTGATTTTAAACCAACAATTTCTGGATAAATTCATCCCATGCAATGTCCAGGGGTGGAGTCCAGCTCTCTGCGAGCCTTCTCCAAAATTTGGCAGGTTCAAGAGCTGAGACTGCTTGATGACAAAGGACCTGTGGCACCACAGCCTGGAGCAGCTGTTTGGGGGCAGTGTGGCCCAAGCAGCCAGCCCAGGGCACAGTGATCCAAAAGATCCAGCCCATTCCATCTGTTTGTTGGTGACTGGGTTATTTATAACCTGGTTGCACTCACATTCTACCTCTGGAAACATCTTTGCCTGGAAGTGAGGGTAGATTTCCATGGCATTTATGGATAAACTACCTGTGCCATTTGCTGGCCATCCCTCTACCCTGCTCAGGGGGAAGAGACACTGACCTTTAGGATCCAAATCCTTCATGTTTACTATGTCTCCACTGCTATTTTGTTTATAAGGCCGCCAGATCTCACGGTTGTAGTGGGGGGAATCAACCTCAGTGTCCCGCTGGAAGAACACAAACCGGACAGCTTGATCCTCCATGAGAACTTCAACAGCACAAGCATGGCAAATGACATAGCCCTCATCCTGCTCAGCTCTCCCATCGAGTTCAGCAAGGAGAAAATTCCCATCTGCCTGCCCTTCATGTGTGACATCCATACCTGGCAGCACTGCTGGGCTGCTGGCTGGGAGAACACAAGTGCAGGTGAGGCTCTGTCAGGAGGTGTTTTTGCTAATGGAGGATGGGTTTGAGCCATTTCAAGGAGATGTTCTCTCCCAGAAGGGGTTATCCACACTAACTTCCATGCCCTACCCCCCTGGTTAACACTTCCAGACCCTCAAAGCTCCTACACACCCACCAATTCTCTGTTCAGTGCAAGAACCAGTCACCTGCTGACCCCCAGAGCAAAGCTGGGTGCTCTGAGAGTGTGTTTTCAAGCTGAAACCTTAGAGCCACCTTTGCTCTGCAGGGCCCCAAACTTTGGACCCATTTTTTGGCACCCAAATTAAGACAAAGATGGTTAAGAAGAACCATAGAATCACAGAATGGTTTGGGACACTAAAGCTTATCTCGTTCCAAACTCCTGCCATGGGCAGGGACACCTTCCACTAGCCCAGGTTGCTCCAAGCCCCATCCAATGTGGCCTTGAACACTTCCCACCTTGTGGGATCCTTGTGGGTCACTTCCAGCTTGGGATATTCTATGATTCACCCAGTTAGGCTGGGTCTAAAGTGGTCTGGAACAAGGGAAATGAAGGTCTAGGGTTGTCTTTGGCGTAATGCCTCCATGAGCCAGATTGACTCTGGTGTTGGCCACCCCTTTTTTTCCACTCATTTAGAACAGCAGATTGCTGTTGCTAATTGCTCTTGTTTAAGCCCCAATGAAAGTAGTTTCAGCACTGACTGTGACCCAAAATGTCTATCCTGAACAAATGTCACTAAATAGTGAGTGAGCTATTTCATTAGTGAAAAGAATTAATCAGGACAGCGAGGGCAGGGCAGTGCCTTTGGATTCAGCAATCCTTCCTAGGATGTAGAATGAATGTCCCATTTCATCCTCGCTATTCTGCTCCAGAGGGCTGCTATCTCCCCTCTGAAACTGCATTTTCCTTCCTAGGTTTCATTTTGCTCATGTAACAGTAATACAAACACTGTGTCATAGCTGTGAAACTCTCCCGTTTCACCAAGGTAACATGTTCTCAGGAACAGAAATGCAGTGGCTGTTCAGAGTCCCTCTGAGGCGTGGCAGGATTTCTCTTTAGCTCATCTCTTTGCAAAATTCATGGTGTAGCTCCAGAGATCGGCCTCTTGCTGCTGTGTGGGCTCAGCTGACATTGATTCTGTTATCCAAAAATTGCTGTCAATTCGCTCAGCCCTGGCACACCCCTCATGAGAGGGATGTGTGATGTGATGGTGTGATAAGGCCATAGCAAGCAGTACAGGATCATGGAATGGTTTGGAGGGTGACAAAAAGACTGAAAATATGCCAGTGGACTACTTGGAAAACCCACTGATTTCACCCACATTTATCTCTAAAGCGAACCTGAGTCTGAAGGATAAAACAGAGACCTTCAGATCATCAGAAGCTCATTCCTTCTGTATTTCACTAAGCTAAATCCTCCCAGCACATTTAGGAAATTCTCACTCAATGGTAAGATCTAAAACACAGAAGATTGTCAGGTGACTTTCCAGCTAAGATGGGGGCATTCCATGGAAGTGCCCACAGATGACAATCCTTTGCTGTAGGCATCTCCAAGGAGATGGAGCACCTCTGCTCTGGAGACACCTGAGAACTGAATAATCCCTGAGAACTGGGATTATTCAGCCTGGAGAAGAAAAGGCTCCACTGAGACCTCAGAGTCCCTTCCAGTGCCTAAATGGGCTCCAAGAGAGCTGGAGAGGGACTTGGGACAAGGGCTTGGAGCAACAGGACATGGGGGAATGGCTTTAAGCTGAAGGAGGGTAATTTAGATGGGACATTAAGAAAAAACTCTTCTCTCACTGTGAGGGTGGTGAGACACTGGCACAGGTTGCCCAGAGAAGCTGTGGCTGCCCCATCCCTGTCAGTGTCCAAGGCCAGGTTGGACAGGGCTTGGAGCAACCTGGGCTAGTTGAAGGTGACCCTGCCCATGGCAGGGGGGTTGGAACTGGATGAGCTTTAATGTCCCTTCCAACTCAAACCATTCTATGGTCCTATAATAAAGCCAAGAGCACAAACTCATCCTTGCTGACATTTGGAGAGCCCCTGTAAGCCCCTGTGACCCCAAGACCCCATGGTTGCATCCTGAGACTCCCTTGCCCTGAGATGCTTTCCAAATTCAGCTGAGATCAGTTCCAGGGCAGGTCTCCAGCTGCTCTGCAGGTTTGTTAATGGTTCTCTTCCCACTTCCTGGAGCAGATGCTGTGCCAGCATCCCACGTGCCAGCATCCCACGTGCTGCAGAAAGCGCAGGTGAAGCTTATCAGCAGGGAGCAGTGCCTGGAGCAGATCCCACAGCTCCGGGAGAACGTGATGTGTGCTGAGGTGGAGGAAGGAGAAGGAGGCAACTGCCAGGTAAAGTGACCAACATTCCCTAGCCCAGGGCCAGTCAGTGCTGCTTCACCACCACATTACGTACTGAAAGGAGACAAGAATGTTTGTCCTGGAGGGTCAAAGCAAAAGAATGGGGAGAAAAGTTTGGGCCAGGAGTGTTTAATCTGAGTATTAGAAATGTTTATCAGGTGAGGTTCTGGCTCTGATCCAAATGTCCTTTGCTGACATGGCAGGTTGGTCCATGGGTGCCAGGACTAGCCCCATCTTACTGCAGTGCGGTACTAATAGGGGAACATGGACTTTTCAAGCTAAATTAGAAAGAGTTTGAGCAGTAATTGATATCAGGGAGCTGACACAAACACCCGAGTGAGGCAAAACTCACTCAGAACTTGTGCCCTCAGAACATATTCCACCCTCAGGATTGCTGACCTGATGGCAGACAGAGTCTGAAAGCCAAAAAACACTTTATCTTTCCTCCAACCCCTCCTCTGAGAGCCTGTGAAGGAGGCTCTCCTGCAGCCTCCATGCTCCACTGGGCAAGGATTTTAGAATCACAGAGTGGTTTGTGTTGGAAGGGACCTTAAAGACCATCCAGTTCAACCCTCCTGCCATGGGTAGAAACACCTCCCACTATACCAGGTTGCTCTAACCCCCATTCAATCCCATCTTAGATGTGTGCACGTGTTTGGAGAGGGATGGATGGGCAGACATGTATGGAAGTTTCATCCCGTAGGAATTATTCATTGAAGGAAGTAAAACAGCACCCAAGACACAGAGAGATCCCCCGCCCTTGGGGCAAAGACAGTGGTTGTAAGGACCAGGGACTGCAAACCCATGGCAAGCCAGGCCTGTAGCAGGGCAGGGAAGGAGAAGTTTGCTTTGCAAAATGATTTTTTGATTAGTCAGGGAGCATCTGCCTCTGCAACCATTCAAGTTGTGACTTTCACCACCATTCAATTCAATCAAAAGTTTTAAGAAGAAACCTGCCATGGGATAACATTAACATGATTAAGGAATGCACTTTCCAGCCCAGTCTGGAGTTCTGTGGGTGAATTATGCTGGTGAAACAGCGAGAGCATTTGTACCCAGAGAAATGAATCTCCTGTATTTGGAAAGCTGATGAGGGAGCTATTTTGATCTACAATAATGTCAGAGTTATCTGAGAAATGAACTAGGAATGTGAGCTTTCAAAGCAGTGGAAGCACGAGGATTGCATGTGGGATATTGTTCAGGATCCAGCACCTGCCCACTTTTTGTGGGAGTTTGACCAGGTAGGGAAGTCTCACAACCTGAAATAATGAGAGCAGGAGAAAATCAGATCCCAGGCTGGAAGTGGAGCCCTTCAGGGGACAAACAAGTGACATGATTTTTCATCAGAATTTGCTAACTTGCATTTTGCTGATGGGTGGTTTTCTGGGAAGTGCTGATTAAAGTCGGGGACGGCGCATTTTGGCCTCGCTAGGCTGGTTCAGGAATTTGGTGGCTTGTCCATGAATGGGTTACTTGCTAATGGACTGGGAGGCCAGGGCTGGACCTGATGCTTATTCTGCAGCAGGGATCACTGGAGGGAATCACAGAATCACTGAGGTTGGGAAAGACCTCCAGGATCATCAAGTCCAACCTGTGACTCATCCCCACCTTGTCACCCAGCCCAGAGCAGTGAGTGACACGTCCAATCGTTCCTTGGACACCCCCAGGGATGGGCACTCCACCATCTCCCTGGGTGGCCCCTTCCAATGTCTGACCACCTTTTAATGAAGAAATTCTTGAAATTCTTGTCCAACCTGACCCTCTCCTGGCACAATTTGAGGCCATTCCCTCTTATCCTGTCCCTTGTTCCCTGGGAGAAGAGCCCAACCACTCCCTGGCTCCCCCCTCCTATCAGGGATTTGCAGAGCCAGAAGGTTCCCCCTGAGCCTCCTTTTCTCCAGGCTGAGCCCCACCAGCTCCCTCAGCTGCTTCTGGTGCTCCAGCCCCTTTCCCAGCTCCATTCCCTTCCCGGACATGCTCCAGCCCCTCAATGTCCTTGTCTGAGGGGCCCAGAGCAGGACAATTCACCTGCCCTGGGCAGAGGGTGAGGCACTGTGGACACTGCAGCCTATCGAGCTCTGTTTATCTGTAAAGATTCCAGGGTTTGTGTCAAAGGAGAATGAGGCCGGATTTCAAAAGACCTAAATCCTTTACAAAGTCATCACTGTCATGGACACAGAGCAGCCCTGGGCATGGTGTTGGTCTGTGCCAACCAGCTGTCTCATGGATGACTTCCAGACACAGCTCCAGCTTTTGCATGGATCAAGAGCCACCCACAATAATCATTTTGGAGAGGCCAGGAAGGAGTAGAAGCTCAGGCAAGGCAGAGACTCCAGATCAGGGAACAAGCCCTGGAGAGGCTGAGTTTGTTACTCTAGCTGTGATCCCAGGAAACCTGGGAGCCATGCCTGGCATAGCCACATGATCTGTCTGGACACAGAGTACATAAAAGCCTTACAATTAACCTTATCTGAGCTTTGCTGAGTGTCAGGATACAAGTGTTCCTGTCCAGAACCAGGCTAAGGCAGGAAAGCTGCTGGACTTGAGGTGTTAAGTCCACATGATCCACATCTGGATCCAAGGCTTTGAACTGTGATGGAGAGAATGACTTTTACACAGGCAGATAGTGACAGGACAAGGAGGAATGGTTTTGAACAAAACGAGAAAAGATTTGGGTTAGATGTTAGGAAGAAATCCTTGGCTGTGAGGGTGGTGAGGCCCTGGCACAGCTTTCCACAGCTGCCCCATCCCTGCAAGTGTCCAAGGCCAGGTTGGATAGAGCTTGGAGCAACCTGGGCTAGTGGAAGGTGTCCTTGCCCATGGCAGGGGACTGGAATGAAATGAGCTTTAAGGTCCTTTCTGATCCAAACCATTCCATGATTCAAAGAATTTATGGTTCCATGAATATCCTCGGTGTTTGCCCTGTGTGCCGTTTGTGTGCCAGATTTCCCCTGTTGCAGGTTAAAGTTGATTTATGTGAATAACTAAAGTCCCACCAGTATCTCCACCAAGGCACCATGTAGGTTTATCCTACTTAGAAGGTTTATCCTACTGCCCACTGCCTTAGTACCCCTGTGGCAACGGGACACAGAATCACAGAATCATTAAGGCTGGAAAAGACCTCTGAGATCCTCAAGTCTAATCTGTGACTGGCCCCCACCCTGTCACCCAGCCCAGAGCACTGAGTGACACGTCCAGTTGTTTCCTGAACACCTCCAGGGGTGGAACTCCACCACCTCCCTGGGCAACCCCTTCCACTACCTGTCCACCTTTTCCATGAAGAAATTCTTCCTGCTATCTGACCTGAACCTCCCCTGGCACAGCTTGAGGCCATTTCATGAATAGAAAGTCCATGAATAAAAAGGCTCAGGCATTTCACCAGCTGCCATCATGCCAGTACCAGACAAGACTAATTTGTGGATGACTAGCCATATTCCCATAATAACTCAAGGAGATTGAATAGCAGAGCTCCCAAGTATTTGTACTTGAAAAAAAAATAATCCATTCACTTAAAAAGCAAAATCTATTATATCCCAATTCCCTCGCAGTTCTGCAGACAAATATATAGATTGACTGTGAATTAACACTAACAGGAGCTGTAATTGACTTATAGTTCTATTTAGTCACAAACATTAGCATTAATGGATGTTCGTGGGGTACAAGTGCTAAGGAACAGACACTAGAGATGGCCTATGTATTATTTTTTGTGTGCTACATTTCTTCCATGACCCCATGAACCACAATTGATGTCTAATTCCTTGCTTTCTTAAGCACCTTTTGTCAGGCTCTGATGCAATGGTAACTTGAACAATAATTAGAGTATAAGGGACTCACAAAGCAAATGCCTCCCTTCAGTGCCTTCCCTGCCCAGGCAAAATTCAGTAAATGGCTCAATTATATTTCAGAGAGGCTGTGGGGGCAGCTCTGGATGTGGTGATTAGGATGGAGCGTGTTCAGCTGGAGTCACAGTTCATGTGCAGTTCAGGTCAGCAGCAGATGAAGGGGGGCCCAGTCCCCGGCCTGACTTTCAGGGGAAGGAATCCTTGTGTGGCCCCAAGAGCAGTGGGATGGTCCCAGCTCATGGGCTGTAGGTATCTGCCCCCTCCCACAGACTGTAGCAGGAGGTGATTTTGGCCATGGAATCGTAGAATGATTTGGATTGGAAAGGATCTTAAAGATCATCTCATCCCACACCCTTGCCATGGACAGGGACACCTTCCACTAGCCCAGGTTGCTCCAAGCCCTGTCCAGCCTGGCCTTGGACATTTGCAGGGATGGGGCAGCCACAGCTCCTCTGGGCAACCTGGACCACCACCCTCACAGGAAGAATTTATTCCTAATATCCCATCTAACTCTGCCCTCTGTCAGGTTAAAGTCATTCCCCCTTGTCCCATCTCAGATAAATGTCTGAAATGATGCCAGGATGCATCCGGGGCTCTCGATTTTGATTCCTTTAGTTCTGTGAAAAAGCAGGGAAGGGCCTCTTTTGTTCAGCTGCAATATGTCCTGCCCACATGTACCGTCAGCAGTTTGGAAAGGGAGAAATCCCTTTACAGCATCTGGGATGCTCAGGGCTCTCACCCTACACAGCTGGAGCAATAGTAGTTGTTGTGCAAATCTGAGTGGGATTTGTTCAGCCAGAATACAAATGTCTTTTCTATAACCATCAGCATCTACACAACCATCTTTCCATCAACAGGAAGAAAAAAAAAGCACTTTTGGCAAGTGAGTCACTGAGTCTGTTTTAACCACCTATGTTAAAATGACATCTATGTGTGTGTGTGTTTATTGCTCCCCATTAACTAAAGTCAAGCTGAAGATATTTGGTTTGGAGACACTTGACTCCAAGGCAGGACAGTTGCCTATATCTAAATATCCAGTGCTATTTTAGATATCCCAGGATATCCCCTTGGTATCCCACTGCTCCCACCTCAGTCCACACCCCAGTGCCAATAATGTGACTGCAATGGGAACCTGACGCTGGAAAAGCT